CTTCCTCCCCTTTGCACCCCAATTGCACCACATCCCCTCAAGACAAGCAAAAGAAGAGAGTTACGCGGTGCCTGGAAAACGGCATTAGGAGCAAGCTCTTCCTTTTAATTAGACACCTCTCTGGTAGGGCAGTCAGCGGTGCTCTAGATCTGGAAGGCTGCCACGGGCTGTATTAGCTAATAAGCTGGGCAATCCTTCTCCAAGCAAGCCAATTTCTCCTTGGTTATGTTTAATTACATTTTAAAATAGCTCTCTGGCTTCCTTTGGCCTCTCCAGGGACTCTTTGCAGCGGTGGTCAGTTCAGCCCCATGCGCTGAGCTCTGCTATCAGATTCAGGTAATTCAGGAGAGCAGTCGAAGTGCGGCCGTCTACTGAGAGTGGGATGGAGAAGCAGCTCCACCCTGCCACATGCCCAGCCCCGCCCCGCTCTGGGCTGCAGGCTGAGCTGGGACTGCCCATCACACCAGCAAAACCACCTAGTAACGGGTACCACCAATGCACCCTCTCGCAGGGCAGGGAAGCAGAGCATTGCCTCGTCACCAGCCACCCCAAGGTTTCAGGACAAGTTTGCAGCACAGAAAAGCTTTTGTCTTACCAGCCCTGTGTTTTACTAACTGGGTGAGATCCCTAGGTGCTGCCCGTGGCAACCTCCACTGCTTCGGTCAGCGGATACCGCCGTGGAAGATGCAGGGACCCTTTCTTTCCCAGGATGGGCACCCGTTTGTATGCGTGGTCTGTGCAGTGGTCGCTGCTCCCTCCTCGAGAGCCACCCTGGACCGAGCAGGTAACCCTGGCAAGCCTGCCATCTTCTTTTCAAAAATGCATGCACAAAGGAAAAACAACACCAAAAATAAAATAAAAACAAAACATCTTGGGCAGAGAGGGCTGCCAAGGCGCCCCGGGAAGCTGGCAGCCAGGCCGCCTTTTCCTTTTGCTTTTCAACACAGTGGCTTTGTGAAACTCCCCCTGCACTGCCAGGGGAAGGAAGGGGGGGGCGGGGGGCAAAGCCAGAGGGGTGTCAGTTTATTGACACTCTGGCAGGACAGCAGGACTACTTAAAAAAAGTTATCAGAGTTTCTTTCTTATTTGTTAACACTGCTAAGGCTGAGAATTGCTTCCTTTCTTCCTCTCAGGCGCTGGAGCAAGTTCCATGCAGCATGATCCAGCATCTGCCAAACTCTGGGCTCTGCCTCCTGCTTGTTTTCATCAACAGCGCCCGACCTCAGCTGGGTGCAAGGCAAATGATAAGCAAATGAGCGCGAGGAGCCCAGCAGCCCTTGCATACTAACCAGCTGGCAGGACCACAGAGTTGCGAGGGGCCCATCTTGCACCTCTCTGGGGTCAGAGCTGGGGTCCCGACACGGCCACCCTGCAGCAAGGGTGCTCAGCACCACGTCCAGCCTTTAAATGCCACCCTGTAAAAACGACCTTCATGCTATGGTGCCGACCAAGGCATCCCTCCCCAGCTGGGGATGTAAGGTTGGCTGCTAACCGCGCTCACTTAGTGGTAAACCTAAAATTCCCCTCGACTACTGGTTTAAAAAACAACACAAAGGGGCTTGAAAACCGTAAGACCTGGTGCTCAACCACCCTTCAGCCGGTCAGCCTCACAGAAAGCATCATTAATTCTAACGAAGCCCATGCTCCCCATCTGCACAGGAGGTGGTCTGAGGGGACTGGCCACAGGCAAGCCCAGCGCTGGGAGGTGTTTTGGGGAGCTGGTAGGTCCCAACTCACAGGCACACCTCCTTGTGAGGAGCTGGAGCATCTCCCCCCAACACTTGCAGGGAGCAGGCATCAGGCTCCCTCCAAGGTGTAGGGCAAGGCACCAGGAGTCCTAACAGGGAAATTAAACAGATCAGCTATTCCTCTTGGAACCAAAATGCCCATTTATAAAAGATAAGCTGTTTTGCAAACACATACTGGAGAGCAAGCTTGCTCAGGAGCGGTGGCTGTGCAGAGCCCCCTGCATCCTTCCTGCCGCCCAGGAGACCCTTCCTCTCTCACATCCACACCCGGCGGCTTCAGCGACAAGAATGGCAGGAAATCAGGACCAGAAGGGAAGAAAAAGTCCCGGGATAAGTGTGATAACTCGGAAGGAACAACACTTCAGAGAAAAGCCTACCCGCCTCCGTCCTGCCATTTTAAGGGTGGAGGAAGAGTTTAAAAAAAAAACAACCCAGGACTGTCCCGCATTCATCTTGCAGCTGGCAACACATCAGGTATCAATTAACACCACTGTCGTCAGAGCTCGTCATCTCTCCCTTGGTCAGTGTTATACCCAGAAACAAGGCAAAGAGGCCTGAAATCAGGCCAGATTTGACAGCACTTGCTCCCATGCAGGAGTAAGCCCTACACCTCCCAGAGGTGGGGATGCCCCACAAGAGCTTCACCGTGCACCCCCAGGGAGAAGGAGGCAGGCGAAGGCTCCAGTCGGACAGAGCAGCTCCAGGTGCCGAGGCAGGGTTTGCTCTGGAAGGCATCGCTCCCCTCCCCACCTCTCCAGCCCTCCTCGCTGTGTTCGCTGCTGCAAGCAAACGTTAAGAAAAACCCCAAATTCCTTGTCAACAGAGTGGGGTGTCAGACAAGGGGAGCATTCTGACCACGCAGCCAGTGCTCAGCAAGCGGTGCCTTGCCTCCGTGGGGTGGGCCTAGGCTTGCTTGCGAGAAAAATAGCATTTGGGGAAATGGAAAATAGCCTATTTAAAAAATAAAAAAAGCAGCCTGCTCGGGCACATTTTGTTGCTCGCAGGAGCAGGGAGAGAGCATTTCTTGCCACGCCAGCCCCTCACTGCCGGAGGGTGTTTCTAACTGGGACAAACCTGGTTTGCAGGGAAACTGGGATACGCTGCTTTTTGCTAAATTAGCCACGTGTCTGGACGGATTATTTCATGAGAAACTTTCTCAGGAAAGGCAACCTCTCCGGCCTGGGTAAAATCTGCATCCTAAAATAACTTCCCAGGCGGCAGAGGCAGCGGTCCCCAGCTCGGGCACGACCCAAACGCAGGCATCGAGGCCAGCTCCCAACGTGGTGCCAGGGCCATCAAGCCCCGTCCACTCCCTGCCAGCTCTCGGGGTGGAGAGCAAAACCAGCCCCCATCACCCACATTTTTTGATGGGTCCTCTCCGGCGGACGGCTGGACCAGCGCCTCTCCTCCCTCCGCCTGGCAGCATCCCTCCCTCCCTCCTTCCCTCCTCGGCTGGCTGAGAAAAGCCACTTTCCCCAGCGCAGACCCACAGCAACAGGGGGTTTGGGAGCGGCAGCCCTTTG